CGGGTCGGCCGAACATGCTGAGCATGTTTGGCCGACCCGAAGCCACGTGAAGCAAGCCGATGTACGGCTGATTTCAGCCGATGTACGGCTGATTTCAGCCGATGTACGGCTGAAATCAGCCGTACCAGCCTTAGTGAATAGACCCCTTAATCTTTCTAATGAGGATACAGACAGCAGTAAAAACCTCACAGTGACCCAGAAGAAGAGGTGGACGCCCCTCGTCTGCATGTCTAACAAGAGCCCACTTCCTGTAATGTATGTACAGAACTACGAACCAGACCCAAAAAGGCAGGCACTCCTCGGCGGCACAAGCGCGGTAGCATTACAACTACTGAAATGCTGTGTGGTACACTTTGGCTGCAGCCTGGGACCCCCTGTACAGTAATAGCCTCCGTTTGTAAGTAGGGGTCGCATGTAAGTCGGATGTTTGTAACTTGGGGACTGCCTGTATATGTGTGTTTTTTTAAAAATCTTTTACTATAGTATTGTATCTACCATTAAAGCCAAATATTGTAGTGTTTATCCTTTCGAACTGATCATTGGAGCATCTTCGTTGTCAACTGTCCTTGATTTACAAGCATAGTTTTTTGTTGTTTTTTTAGATTAGTATGGGAAATTATAGATTACACCCATGAAAATGTCCTATTGCTCAACACTTGAATAGCACTGCAACTACAGTTCTTGGAATGATTTTTTACTTTTTGTAACAATGAAACTGTGTAGTGTACTAGCAACACCTTCATGATCACATCAGGTGATCCATGTTGTTTTAGGCCACCAAAGCCCCCACCTGCCCCTTCATCAAGAAAGTAAATTGTCATACAAATCTCAGATGCTGACCTGACCTGCACTGCCAGACTTGTGTTCAGTGTTTGTGGCTAGGTACTTGGACTGTAGTGCTCACAAACAAGCGCCTAGCAATTACAAGTAAAAGTAATGGAAGGTGCCACCCTACCTGTTAAAATGGGAATGGGATCTTCAGGTGACCTTTACTCCAGAACAGGGGAATGACATCGTGTTCTTCTTACACCGAGCTTCCATGGCCTGCAGGATGCAAGAAGCTAACTTTAAACTTCTAAAGAGATGGTATAGTGTCGCCTCTGTTCTCCACAAGATATACCCTCAGGTTTCTGATCTATGCTGGAGATGCTGAGAAGAGAGAGGTACCCTTCTTTGTGTTTTTTTGTCTTGCACTAAGTTGAGAGATTTCTGGAACAGGGTTAGGGTGCTGACCAAGAGACTTACGGGGATGGATCTGGGAGATGACTTATCACCTGCACCATTCAGGTCTCTTGAGGAACAAACACAAGAAATCTCTTTTAGTCCTTTTACTCAATGCGGCCAAAATGTGTATTCTGGTGCTCTGGAAAAGCTCCTCCCCTCCCTCACAGGGACTGTGGTACACTAAGATTCGCAATATTGAGAGAATAGAGTGCCTCACAGCCACACTGAAGCACAGGGTGGACAAATTACACAAGACCTGGTTCTATTGGCTAGGATTCTCTTTTTCTCTGGAGTTCTGTGCTGTCATGACATCCCATGGTGTCATGACAGCAGGAATGCTGAATGAGCATGCCTTGAGTTCGGGATGTGGTCTTCCCTGCCCTCCCGCTTGATCTGTTGTAGTTTTATTTTTTTTATATATTTTTTTTTCTTTCATTTTACTTCCCTGCCTGATATTTTATTTACCCCGCCTTTGAGTACTCAACTACAATATTCCTTCTTGCTTTGATATAGTTATTTTGCACCCTCCCTTCCTTTTCCTGTTTATTCATCCCGCCGCTTCTCCTACTCAGACTCCCTTCCCTCTCGTTTTCGACTTCATTGTCTTTCTTTAGTCCTTTTGGAAAATGTAAATGCAGAGCAGATTCACCATTTTTATTATTTTATGTTCGTTCATGTTCCTTGGGAGATTAGTTTTTTCATAGTAATTTTGCTATGCAACAACCACTATGCTATTACGTAATGGAACAACCTCATACTTTGTTATCCTGTTGCTTCATCTGTCTCTGTGAGTGGTTAAATATATAAAGATATTACAAAAAAAAGTAATTGCAGGTCTATCCCCCTGCTACAGTTATTGTTACACCATTTGCACCAACCCTTTGCTCAGGATTGCAATTGAAATCCTGCTTTCAGATATCTGCTTAAAAAAATCAGCGCTTTAAATGTGTTAAATTGTATTATGCAAAAGGATTTTACAACTTATAGCATGTAATTGTTAAAATTAATGACAACACCACCTCCTACAATCTAACAGTGACATTTATTTCCTAACAGATGGACCTTGATGTGGCAAGCAGTGACTTGTTTTATAAAAAGCTTCTAGAGTTGGAAAAGCACATTCGAAGCACGTTAAAGTTATAATAGGAAATGCATGAAAGCAAGTAAAATCAAGACTCTCCACACCTTAATTTTTTTGGATTTTATGCTTAATTCATTATCTACCAATGTCCATAATCTTGTCAAATAAATTATGTTTTTAAAAACATGGGCTCCTCACTGTTAGTTCTCTTTCTAAGAAGGAACTGGAAGGTGCATTGTGTTGCCAATTTAGAATGGGGGGTGCATTGTGATGTGCGATAGTGTGCTCTAAACACACAGATACCATGACTTTAGCGCAAAGCAGCAGTGTGTCCAAAAATGTATTATTAAACAAAAATGACACTGTATAAATAATATTTATTTCAATTGTGCATGATCCAGAATAACGTGCAGCTTATTGAAACAGGTAGTTCAGAGGAGGCCTCCAATGGGAAAATGATTTACAGACATTTAATAGCTCCTTTATATAAAACGCATTTTACATAGTCTGCCTTTATAGACCTGCTAAAAAACAGCCAAGCACATACAGTATATTTACTATTAAAAACACCAAGAGGAGAGTCAGGGGCGTAACTAGTGACCTCAGAGCCCTGGTGCAAGAATCCCGGTGCAAAAGATCAAATTGGGTGCAGGTTTGTCAGGAGGAAGCTCAACCTCCCTTAAAGGCACAGGGACCCCTTTTGCCACATGTGCTCCAAGATGTTAGGACCGCACTGTATAGAGGTGCCTTGACGCGGCTGTCACATTTTCTGCTGTTGTACTGTATTAAGCCCTTCCATGTACACCTTGCTGTAAAGCTGATAACGAATTGATGAGTGTGTTTGCCATTTGTTTTGTTTCACTGATTTGGTGCAGTGACGCATGAGGGGCCTCAGCTGCCGTTGTGATGTGCGGGGTCCCTTGTGCATCCCTGTGCCTTCAATGGAGGTTGGGCTTCCTCCTGACAAACCTGCACCCAATTTGATCTTTTGCCACATGTGCTCCAAGATGGAGACTCTGATAGTTTGGAGTTAGGAACGCACTATATAGAGGTGCCTTGGCGTGGCTGTGCAGCTTTCACATTTTCTGCAGAAGACGTGTATCTAAACCTCTGTTTTTAACCTTAGCGGTGAGAAAAGTTTTTTTGCATGCTGGCTGGTGAGTGTGCTGGGAAACTTTTTGCTGACTACCACTCCAGCCCCCACTAGAACAGGCCTCTCTCCAGGGCACACTGATTCTGCAGATACACTGCAGTCAGCTGTACAAACAGAGGGGGAACCACCGACATTGAACGTTTACACCTGTGCAAGCCTGCAGCTCCTCTTTCCTTACTCTCACTGGCCAGTTGCAGGGGTTGAGAGATGATATGGAGATTATGCGGCAGAAAACGAGAGAACGTGCAACTCTGGTTCACAGAGATATGCAGGTGGCTCACTCTGTGCTATCCTCTCGCATCGAGGATATGGAAAACAGATTCAGGAGAAATACTGTCTGCATTCTGGGAATACCTGAGAGGGTTGAGGGGAAGGATCCCAATGCATTAATAGGGGCATGGCTTATAGTACTTATAGACACTTTTGGTAAGGACTCCTTTACCTCACTCTTTGCTGTGGAGAGAGTCACTATATTCCTACCTGACCCTTACCCCCTGGTAATTCCCGAGATCGTTTCTACTGAAACTTCTCAATTACAAAGATCGTTATATTCTTCTGACTAAAGCATGCTTACATGGTCATATAACGAACAATGGATCCAAGATTTCCTTTTGCCTTGACTGCTCAGCTGAAGTTCAAAAACAGCACACTAAATATACAGTTGTTAAACAACGCCTTCAATCTCTCCATACGCCATGCTATACCCGGCCCGGCTACGAGTACTTGCTGCAGGGCAAACTCACTTTTTTTATACTTCTGGAGCTGCAGCCTCTTGGTTGGATCGTAATGAGCAGCATCCGTTGACATCCTAGGCAATTAGACCTATTGGATGATCCCCAAACTAGTTTCCTGCGTGGCTCTACCTGCATGTTTTTACTGGGTTTTTTTGTCTGTGGTTTTCCCCCTTTTTTTCTCCTGTTGGAGAGTTCTGCGTGGATTGTTTGCTTTCTGGCACTGTCAAGAACTCTCCTGGATACTTGTGCTCAGCAGACAACATGGTTGAACTTCTTTCCGAGGCACATCTATATAGTGACTTTGTGGATGAACCCATGCTTGCCCTTGCTGGGATGTTTGAGATATCTATGTATGATTATTTCGCCATTACTGATTTGATTACCCCTATGGCTACAATTAGTATAATTTCTTGGAATGTATGGGGGTTGAGGATCCCACGAAGAAACAAGCAGTATTCAGTACGCACCTAACCAACGATACTGTTAATTGCTTATCACAGGGCAAGTTCCCCATTAGGTTCCATATTCCTCTTATGCGTAGGGGGTTAGTATTCTGATTTTTCCTAACATCCAGTTTGGTCATTTTATATTGCTCTATTGTACGCTTAATGGTCTTTGTTGGATATTACCCAGTGTCTATATCCCTCCACTATATTCTGCCAAGGTGCTTTGCTCCCTCTCTCATTTTATGGCCACTTACACAGGTATACTTGTACTAGTAATGGGGAGATTTTAATAATGTTTTAAACCCAATAACGGACAGGTTTAATTTGGCATCTTCTGGGGACACATCATCTGAAACTCCTTTCTGCAGACTGAGAGGTAGGTATATTTGATATATGGAGACTACAACATCCAGCTGTACGTCAATATTCTTGTTGCTCTTCCACCTTCCATTCCCTCTCCTGCATTGATTTGGCTCTTTGCACTGAACATAAGCTTCTATTTGTTTCCAAATCTCCAGAGGCTTCTCGGACCATTCACCCATGGAGATATCCCTTGTGAAGAAATGCCCCTTACCTAGGAGTCCCTGGAAGGTCAACCCCTCATGGCTTCTCATGCTGCCCAAGGAGAACGATCTCGCTCTCCAGCTTAACAACTTCTTTAATGACAACCATTTATCAGCCTCTCGGGTAGTGATTTGGGATGTCATGAAGGCATGCCTAAGAGTGCTCTTATTAACAACATTACCTTTCTGAAGAATAAAATCTCATGAGTGGGAACAGAGTGTGATATCTGAGGTGACCGTTGCAGAGACAGACTATGTTGTTGATTCCTCCCCAGCCCATTTACGGTGGTGGAAGGATGCTCAATTGATGTATAAAAGGGAAAAAGTAAATGTTTCTTTTCTTCTCTGAGTAACTTTGAAGAGGGGAAAAGTGTGGGTCACCTTCTTGCTGTTGTTGCAGGATTACAACGGGGTTCCAGTCATATTAGTTCTATTTACTCTTCAGATGGGACACTTCCCACAGACCCTGCAGCCATCATGCATGTCTTTAGGGAATTTTATGTGGATATATATTAGGGATGCACCGATACTAGTATCGGTATCAGTGCCAATATCGAGTATTTGGGCGAGTACTTTTACTCGCCCAAATGCTCTGATACCTTCCCTGATACTGGAACTTCTGATCAAAGGAAGGCTTCCTCTGACCAGCAGTGCCATAGAGGAACATGGAGTCAGCTTCCTGGGCAATCAGGAAGCTGGGCAGCGAGGAATGGTCCGCCTTCCTGATTGGCCGGGAAGCCAGCTTCCCGGCCAATCAGCATGGAGCTGGCTTCCCAGCCAATCAGGAAACCAGGAGGCGGATCATGACTCGCTGCCCAGCATCCTGATTGGCCGGGAAGCCGACTCGATGCTGATTGGCTAGGAAGCTGGTTTTCCCGGGCCAATCACAATCGTGCCAACCAAACAACATAGAGCTGGCTTCCCGAGCAATCAGGAAGCCAGGCAGCATGTCAGTACTCGCCGCCTGGCTTCCTGATTGCCCGGGAAGCCGGCTCAATGCCAGGGGAAGCACAGCTGTCAGTACTCGGTATCGGCGAGTACCGAAAACAAAATATCGGTACTTGATACCGAAAAACCGGTATTGGTGCATTCCTAATATATACTTCTAAAACATTGTACTCTCCGGAGGACCTTACCAGTTTTATTGATTCCTTGCATATTCCTAAGCTTGAGGAGGCTGACAGAAATGTACTAAATGCTCCCCTTTCTATAGACCGCCGTTTCTGATACTTCCACTAATAAGGCCCCTGGGATTGACGGCATACCATCTTACCATATACCACTACTTATACAGAACTGGCTAAACTAACAGATTCTGAGCCCTGGTTCTATAGGGATATACTGTATGCTATCTACCACAATTATTTGATGGAGGAGTTTCTTAAATCCTTTCAAATGCTGCAGAAGTTCAACCTTCCGCATACACACTTTTATGAATATTTACAACTATGTCATGCTATTTTAGCACAGGGTAAACTCAAGTCCCTTGTTTTACTAAGGCACCTCTCATAGCCCTGATTGCGCAGTCAGTTGTAAAGAAGGGCCTTATGTCTTCTCTTTATGAATATTTACTATCTGCATGGTTACCGACCCCGACAACTACCATGCAGGAGAGGCTGAGAGAAGGATTTGTGAACTCTCTCGGACAATTCGTGGCAGACTTTATTGTAAAATAAAAAAGAATGACATATTAAAAACTCAACAGCGCTAATTTTAAACAAACAATAAATGTACATAAGGCTGATTTTCACATATACCAAACGTGCTGCAAAATCAATCATAAATGACGAAAATTCCTTTTCGTGAACATAAGTTGATCCTGTGTGAATCAAAGTGAACGAATAAATGTTTAATTCTAGTGTTAACTCCTGAACACCTATGTTCCTCTTCCCAGCTGGAGCTGGGAAGAGGAACATAGGTGTTCAGGAGTCAGGAGGACTCCACCCAGACGTCAGTGGGGAGCCAGGTGGCTGTGTGTGCTAGAGGTACAGGAAGACAGTCGAGGAGGCTGAGAAAGCCGTTCACACATGGAGTATGTGTGACAACCTGGAGTTGAAACGGGTGCTTTGTATCTGGAGAACCGACAGCAGAGAAGGTGCGGGTAATTAACACCGGACCAATCTACTTCCGACAAATACAACGTTTGGGGCTGTCTGTTACAGTCGGAAACCAGGGGTGAGTACTCTTAGGGGATATGTATTGACTTCAATGCACTCCTCAGAATAAAGTGTATTAACGAATACTGAAAATAAGTCGCTACACACATCTTTTCACTTGGATCGGATTGAATTAGCACAGAGACTTTTTGTTTGTTTCAAAAGACTTTCTTTATTGGGATTTTTCACAATTAATCCACAGAAACTATACAATTTTCATTAATTTATTTATATACTTTTACAAAGTCACTTCACTTACAGTTTTTTATGAAACACTAGAATCAAACATTTATTCATTCACTTTGATTCACACAGGATCAACTTATGTTCACGAAAAGGAATTTTTGTCATTTATGATTGATTTTGCAGCACGTTTGGTATATGTGAAAATCAGCCTTATGTACATTTATTGTTTGTTTAAAATTAGCGCTGTTGAGTTTTTAATATTTCATTCACTAGACCTCTAGGGGTCTATATCACAGCAGCTTTTTGATTAGTATTGGTCAACACATTTACGATTAGTTATTCTGTAGATTAGCGCTGCCCATTTAATTAAAACACTTTATTGGAAAATACTACCTTAGTCTCCCTCTCACCTACACAATGCTTGACTCGGCTATATATTTTGCATAGGGTATATCATACTCCTCAGAAATTGTAATCCGGGCGAAGTAGGGATTTGGAGGCATGTCCTAGGTGTTGGGGGACTCCTGCTGACCTATTACAAATGTTGTGGAGGTGCCCCAAACTATTCCGGTATTTGGAAATTTTGTTTCCACTATTAATAATGCATATCACACCAACATATCTCTTGATCCTTTAGTTTGTTTATTGGGTCTCAATAATAAGGATTTTTATACCAAAGAGTTAATGGCCTGGGTTTGCAGACTTTTATTTGTTGTTAGGAAGCTGGTGGCATTGAAATGGACATCTCACAAACCACCCACTATTACTGAATAGTGTAGTAATGTTAATTTGCTCCTAACTAGGGAAATATTGGTGTACCAGCATGTAGGGGACTCTCAAACATTTTTTACACAATGGAATATGTGGCTTTCCACTCCTGGATTGGCTCCATCTGACTTACTAATGCAGCATCATTTTCGGGTTAATTACCATCTTTTCCTAAACTTCTTTGTGGCGTGATGCATTTCCTGAGATAATGAGAGTGAGAAGAGCCAGCGTGCGTTATTTTAATTTTTATGTTTCAAGATACTGAATTTAGTTTGTATTTACTGTCTATTCACCACCTTCGTACATGATATGTCTTATTCCTACTATGCCTGCTTGTATGTACATCGGTTCATATAGATGCAGCCCTCTTTGTCCTGGTGACCACTGTCACTGAGACAGAAGAGGATGGGAAATTCTAAAACTTTGAGTTGTCACCTAAGCAAGATGTGAGGGAAAATTCTCCTATTCTCCTGTTACTATGAAAACTCACAAAAATGAGAATTCTGTTTAGTTTGGAGATGTACTCTCATTTTCTGTTATGTCTCCAGGACAGGAAGTAAAGGGAAATTTCCCCAGCAGGACAGTGACAGCAAAAAAAAACCTGATGGGGTTTTAACCATTCCCTACTCTAAAACCAAAAATAACTTTTTGGTTTTATATACACTCTAAAATGATTTAAACTTGTTTAAACATAGCCTAGTGCAAGAGAAATGTTATGCAACTGTGCAAATAATCAAGGCTAAAAAGAAGAATATTCTCTGCCATGGTATGAGAAGTTAAAATTTAAAACTACTAAAAATGTGTACATTACATGTTAGAGTCATCAGTAGTGTTATGACATTTTCATCAAGGCTTTATGCAGTAGTGACGGTTTATTAAATATCATAAATTCATAATAATTTTGGGTCATTTTTGAAGCTGTAAATGCAATATTTTTATTCAATGTTTATTAATGTTTGCTAGTTTGCATCCATGAATTGCTTTATCATTTCAAATACTTGTCTAGTAGAAATCAAATTTTTTTCGATCAGTACAGGGTCAAATGGCTCACAAGTAGAGAAAAAAGTGAAAAAGTTTAAAATTATAATAGAAATAAAAAGTGGAGCTTATTCGCCTAGATTGCATTAGGCATTATTTGCGAAAAGAATTCTTGCTACGACTCGTTGTGCCAGAATGTGTTATAACACCACATTGCTACTTATGCTTAATGTTTATTTGTCATTATTGTTGTTTCTTTGGAAAATTTCCGCAACACTGAGCTCTTTTTCTGAATCTGGCTTTACTTTATGGCGAATATATCTGGCATGTTTCGCTTCTTCCAAGGACTCCATAAAGTCAGGCATTGTGTGCTGGGTGCGGAGTACTCCATCAGGAGCATAGATTTCCTCATCAAATAATGGCTTGTCCTTGAAAAGGGAACTTCTTCGCCTCATATACTGTGGACCTAAGGCTGGGGGTTTCATTGCCACATCTTCATTTAAAGACTTCACCACTGAGGGAAGTGTTTTATCGTCTGAATCGATGGGAAGCTCAGAAGATTTGCCTTGCTTGCTATTACTTTTGCTGTTTGTGCTTTCCTTTACAGAGGAAATACTGGCATCAGGAGCCATTGAATCTGTTGTACTGGTACCAGAAACTGAATATTCAACTTCATTTCTCTGAACAACTTCAGAATCCTCTTTAGTATTTCTGCTGTTAACACCATCCATGAAGTCATTAATACGCATTTGAAGAGTCATTGATGAGCCAGATGCAATGACCTGCCCTTCTGGAAGAGATGTCGGTTGGTTTCTTGTTCTTACAAAAAAATAAAAAGAGTAGTAAATTAGATGTTTTATTATGCTAAATACCTACAGATTTAACAATTCTTTTTTTGGTTTTAATTGAGGGTATAACCCCTCCTACTTTTTTTTTGCTGGTGTCCTAGGAGGGTGGTCTCCAAACAAAGATATCACAACTCCCATTCCCATGTCGGATTCCTCTCTCTGAGAGCCTCCAGGTGAGCTCGTCCTCACTCTAACCTCCCTCAAACCAAAAAGAAAGTACAGCTCTCCATGGATCCACCAAATACTGTGTTTATTAGTGTGTTCTAACCCCAATCACACTAATTCTCCCTGTCATACAACAGCACACCTCTAACACATTTCACCCGTTTGGGCTTAATCATAGAGATAAGATGGATGCCTTTTCTCTAGGGTTGCACAGATACCAAGTACAGTACTCGGTACAAGTACAAGTACATGTACCGATACTTTTGAGCTCCAAGACTAGACTAGAGAAAAATTCAAAAGTTAGGAGGCAGCTGTCATTTGTAAGGAGCACACAGAGCTCCTGGGATTTGTACATCTCTGTTTTAATGTACGATTTTGTTTTTATAAATATAAATAAAGTGATGCACAGATACCAGTTTTGCGAGTACGAGTACTGGTACTTGCAGAGTACTTACAAGTACGAGTACTGATACATTTTTGTTTATTGTCATGTGACAGTTTTTCTAAAACAATACAGACTAATGATTTCAGGACAGTGGTGGAACACCAGAGCCAGGTCCCAGCTGCAACCTCTGCAACCCTGGTAGTTCTCATGAAAATGCCAAGTATCTGCACTGGTACTCGAAAAGTATCTGTGCATCCCTACTTTTCTCCATGAAAATTCTTCATATTGTTTGCTACTTTTCACATCCTCAGCTCCATCTAGTGGCATATCACGTTATGCCACTAGATGGAACTGAGGATCATAGGATATTAATACATCTTAGTAACAAGAGATAAAATTCCATGCAGGAGGGAATTAGCAAATAGATGTAACCATTGTTACTACAGGGATCCATTGGAGCAGAAGAGAAAATTGGCCAAGAACAGTAGAATTTGCATGTTCTCTCACAACAGCTGATTAATTCACACAGGACAAATGGACATGCAGTTTAGCTGAAAAAATAGCTATGCAAATTTTCCTGGGTGTTTGTTTGTTTTTTCGTTTTTTTATTTTACACTTAAGCAAATGATTGGGTTTTTTTTACCTTTACAGCTAGGCATGTTTTATATATCAAATATCATCCTTACCTTTCATCCTTAAATTGACTTCCTGTTTTATGGTTTTCTTTCACACTTGTGGGGCTTGTTGTTTTCCTAACCGTAGCTAAAAATACATATAGAGGAATAATTAATAGCTATCCTATAAAATGTTAATAATAATAGGACTGTTCTCTAAAAAATGGTGGGTGTGCATATAGCAGCAAATTAGATTCTAGCTCTCAGTGTCCAGTTTAATTAGACCAACTAGCTCTTGTCAGCAACACATCCTTTTTATTTAATTATTCTTGCCTCCAGAATAAATATGTGAGGCACAGTATTTTACTGATGGTCTTTCTCTAAGAGTATTAAAGGGTATTGCTAGTCAAACAAAAATGTAAATGTATGGGCATGTAGCATTTTAACTCCTTATATTGCCATAAGCATCCATTTCCTGCAACCCTTGGTTATGGGTCCATCATGAGCAGGCATTCTGAGCATGCAATTATGCAGTCCCGCTGCCTCTATTTAGATGTCCATACCCCTTCACTTATCAAAATTATATATCAGTGTCATTAAATCCTGTTTCCTGTTATCATATGTTATGGAGCAGCCCAGGCATTGCTTCTGCCTACTCCCATCCTGCTGTTTTATCTTTTATGCCAATGGAAACAACATGATCTCTTTAATCAACATATAGCAAGTACTCTATTGTGGTCTTAACACTCAGCATTACCTCAGATCAGATGCACTTCCTGTGACCCAATTACCAGCTTAAAAGGAGAACTATGAGGTTAAGGCTTTTCCCCATAGTTCTCCTTAGGGTAACGGGAGGACACAACTAGCGTCCTCCCGTCACCCTAGGCTCAGTATACCGCGAACTGTAGCTCACGGTATACTGAGACGCCGCAGTATACAGCGAGCTGCTGCTCGCGGTATACTGAAACGCCGCAGCTGAAGCGGATCCCGACAATTGTGCCGGGATCCACCCAGCTGCGTGACTGACAGCTGGCTCTGCCTATCTAGAGGCAGAGCCAGCTGTACCCGCCCCTCCCCCCTACGTTCCGCCAGTCAGCGCTGGCGGATCGGAGCGGGGAGGGGGGAATCCAGCCCATCCCCTGTCACGGCAGAGAGCCGTGACAGGATCGAGAGGTGAACGAACGCCGGTATGTGTTCGCTCACCTCACGATTTACTGAGCCGACCTGTGACAGTCTCATTGTCACAGGTCGGCTAGAACTATGAGGTGAGTGAAAAGCACTCACCTCATAGTTCTCCTTCAAGGGTTTTTGTATATGGGCACCAGAATTAGAAGCAAGAGGAATGCTGCTTCCAGGTGCTTCTGAATTGCTTTGACTTGTTTCTCAGTTGCTATGTGCATATAGGTTGTTTCTTTGATCTGCTGCAAGCTGCTTCCAGTTTCTTTTGCATTCATATTGACTTGTAAGAGAAAGAAAAGCATCTCCGATGCTAGCAGAATCCCATATACATATAGTCCTACTTAGGAATCCAAGTCCAAGTCTTTTAGGCAACTTTAGGCATTGCGTAAGCAATGATGCTAATAAATATGCAAATAAATACGCACACTATTGTAGTGTGTAAAAATAAACGTTTTTTATCTTTATTTTTCAGTTTTTTTCACTTGAAAAAGTTGTTCACATTTTCACCAATAAGGATTGGCCTTTTGCTGTGGACTGATTGTTTGGATATTAACGTTTGGATTTATTATCTTTACACATTTCACTGGTTAACAATAATTTATGTTTTGATTTGTTATAATAAGTGATGTTATAGTTTTACACAATATTTTTTTCACTTGTGGGGAATTTTTATATCTTTTTATATATATATATATATATATATTTATATTGCATATGCACATAATTGGAAGTTTTTTAGCGCTGTACAGTTTATTAATGATTGAGGCAATAGCCTTTGTGTAGCAGCTTTTAACCTCTATTGTTTCTTGACTGACTTCCATTAGCGCAGATTAATTGACTACCATACTGAAATTGTTGCATCTGATATGTGGATTTGTTTTATGATAGTCCACCGTCTTCAAGTTCTGCTTATAGCTGAGCTATGAATCACTATATATTTACTATTGTTTTCTTTGATATTGATTTAGTTTGTTATGTTCAGTATAGTATTATTCTGTATGATTTAAGACTTCTGCACCATTTACAATATGCCCCAGTACAGGAAATGTAGGGGTTATAAGCAGCTTAGCTGCACCCAACATTTTGCTTTGCTTTGCCAACTGAACTGCCAAAGAGGCCATTGGACTCCTAAGCCCGCAAGTTCCAATGTGTGCTGCAACACATTTACTGTATACAATACTATTAGATTTATTTTCTCCTACTGGTCAAACTCCCAACTCAAAGGGGACGATGTATAAATCATTCATCAAGACATAATTTGGCTAAATTCCATTTGCATGCCATTCTAGCCACTGGATGGAGCCGAGGCGCATAGGAACTTCCTATGCTCCTCCGCTCCATCTAGGGGTAAGGAAGGAGCCAGGCAGTCAGGAGGTCAGGCAGCCTCAGCAAGTGAAGCCATGTTCTTTCAATAGAAAACTGGCTTCCCAGGCAATCAGGAAGCCGAACGACGGGTCATGATCTACCGCCCGACTTTCTGATAATCAGGGGGACCGTTATCGGTACTCGTTATCAGCAAGTACCGGAAAAAAAATATTGGTACCCGTACTTGATAACGAAAAACTGGTATCGGTGCATCCTTAGTTTCAAGTGCCTTTCATTAAGGGAAATGATGCACGATTGACCACCATTGTAAAAGGACCTTTATCAAGGGAACAACAATATTACTGGCCTTCTGTGTGAATGGAGCTATTATCAGGGGTGTAGTATAGATAGTCTAACTTTGCCTTGACTGCTAACAAATCCTTCTCCTGTCTGGCCATTCACTAACTCTAACAAGACTAATCTCTGCAATTTATCATCAATGCTGATGCAGGACTTTCTCCTCTAACCACACTTCATATATTCTTTATCTCTCTGCCAATCCCTCCTTGTATTTTTAGTCAACCTAACAAAATTCAGAATACACTGCTTTGTCTTCAGGTTTCACAGAACTTTCCTATTTAATATAGAAGTAGACCCTTAACTACCACCTCCACTTCCATACAAATGTTCTCCATCCCTTTCATGGTTCTGAGATATCTTTCAGGCGGACCTCATTCACACTTGTCTTCCTATTAGACTTAACCCTATCTTTAATATACTTAGAGAGAAACCAACTCTTCAAAATAGCCAGCTGCAGCCACTGCTATTATCTTCATCTATTGCACCCAATGTTTTCCTGTAAACTTCTTTAGGTATGGCCCCATTTTTCCATTGTCATCTTTTAAAAAAAATAGTAAAATGACTGTAATCAGCAGCTGTGGGTTTATATGTAAGTTGTGATCTTCCATTATGACTATAGCGGTTGGTAAAATGTATGTAAACCCTTAAGCACAGCTCCAACAGGCATGTGCACCTGTACTGTTAATAAATGCCTTTAGCAGGTCAATGCTGTAGGACATGTCTAAAAGAAGATGAAGGCATAGCTTTATGTTTGTAATCCAGATCCTTATTTCGGTTAGGTTGGATGGTTTAACAAAATCCTAGTCAATCCAATATCATACCCTGTGCAACATCTTTTAAGTGCAGTAACAGAAAGTCCCAGAAATCAGATGTTATTGCCCTCTATTGCTTTTTGTACAGCACATATGTACTTTACATTTCTAGAATGCTATGATCCATAGATCCTACCTTGCCTGATTCTCATGAGATCCTTTTGCAATCGTTTTTGTTCTTTGGTCATGCTGTTTATGTGGTAACTTTGAGCTTCCTTTATCTCCTGGATCCCATTGTTAAGTCTGACCTCTGCTCTTTTAGCTCCACGCCTTTCTGCTTCCCATTGCTTATCCACATTGTTCCCAAGGAGCCTTGATCGGTTCATATTTAGAAGTACCTGAGAGAAATACACAAGGGAGCAGAAAAAAAACTGCATTGGTGGAATATTAATACAAATAAAGGGATAACTACATCACATCAAAACAGATGGATAAAACAGTCAGAAATATTTGCTGAGACGGTGTTCTGATTTGAAGGAGGTCTCAAAACTAAGAGAAAACTCTTCTCTAATCCTCTCCTCACATCTTCTATTGTTAACATGGAATATAACACCCTTTGCATTATGTTGAAAGATCTACTTCTGTACATGGCAACAAAAAACATCCACATTTGATTTTCTAACCTTAACTGGGCAATAGGATCAATCCACAAAGCTTAACGCAAGGTTAAGAATTTTATTTTCAGCCATGTGGATGTGTTGACCCTCTCTGTACTGTGCTGGCTCATTTCATTAAGATTTGTAAAGTAGATGTAAATACTGCCTGTCCTAACAAAGGGTTAAAGGATTACAACCCTCGCTTTTGCATTCAAATGATAATGAAGTGTATGAGAGAAACACAATCCTTAAATGTCAGCCCTAAGTCTATTAGGACAGAGCACTGTGAAGGTGCTGAAAAAAACCTGAATTTGGCCATGTTGCCTGCTGCAACAAAACTTCTAAAACGTAAGAAATATTTTTTTTTTATTATGTATCGTTATGCAGTGTGAATAGGAACACATAACAAACATATAGAGGGGTTTCCTCAAATTTGACTGCAAAAATGACAATACACTTTAAGATCGGAACTACATTTTCTCAAAACCTATTCAACTTTACTCTTTTAGATACTTACACTAGTTGCATTTACAAATTTGTTGTTTTTTTTGTTATCTGCATGGAAATAATTTAATGGTACATCTGTGTGAATCAACAGGTTCACTTTAATGCCTCCCTCCACAGCAGATAATATTTACACCTACCATTTTACCACTCTATTTAAAGCGAAGCTAAATCTTCCTACGCTTAACAGTGAAAGACACTGGCCCCTGTGTGTGTTGTATAGTAGCCACAGCTCCAAGCTCGCTCCTTTGATGGATTGCAATTTCCCGTTTGGTTTACTAATTTGTATTAAGATTGTAGTCCATTACAGGAGCAAGCTTGGAGAGGTGGCTACTTTACAACACAGACAGGAACCATGGGGAACAAAAGTAGCCACCCTCCAGAAAGAAGAACTGTCAGCACAAATTCTGAGATGATTTGAAGTAAATTAAATAAACACCCAGACTAAATTCAAAATTGTGGGCCCCCAGGAGGTTTTTGCCATAATGTGCAAGTGGGCCCAGCATATTTGCACATTATGGCAGACTTACTGAACAAAGCAATCTTTTCCAGCATTTTAATAACAGCATACCCCTCCATTGCCAGTGCTCCCATCTTCTCCTGGGTTCAGAGTCTTCAGACTCTTGATTGGCCGGGCCTGGATGAAGTAAATCCCATTCATGTGCATGGGAGTTACTTCATGCCAGCACAGAGACAGCTTAGCTCAGTGAACACTAATAGAAAAGAGTGCTGACAATCAGGTCGAAGCATCTCTGACAGAGACATCACAGTCTCTTCTGTCGTAAAAGAACCTTCCGGCTTGTGTTGAAGGCATACATTTAACATCAGTTTGGGGAGCTTCTGAAATGATTCAAAAGAGTCCGATAGAGCAGTGGTCCCCAACCCCCGAAGCAGCGCTCCCGACTCTGCTCTGCCCAGCTCCGTGTCACAGACATGCGATAGAGGATGTATCTTTTCTGAACTCAATTCAAAATGAAAAATGTGGTTAAAATTGTAGAGGGATAAGTTTGAAAACACACATCTATGTCCTTCTCACCCTTCCCTTATATACTGTACATTGTTTTCCTATTGGGAATGCCTATATGAAATGTATCCAGTTCTTCCTACCCATAGGTCTTCCCACAGAGTCAAAATGTCTTTCATCGCACCACCAACTCTCAGCAAATGCCTCCCAAGCCAAATCCTATTCTAAAACACACACAGGAAGAAATATACCTGGCATCCAACATTTGTGACCTAACAACAAGGACACACCCCAGCACTCATGTTATTTGCCCGGAAGAATCACAACTGACTTATGTCTTCCTCTTAAATAACTTGCTCCACTAAATAGTCACACTCCTAATTGGTGGATATGCTGATGTTATAACACATCATATACAGGGATGTGTACTGTGCTATCTCTGTTCTAAACATATTCTAACAGCCAATAAAATCATGGAAGAGTAGTGAAGGTGATCGAAAAGAACAGCATAAAAGATGGAAATTATATTTCCTTTAAATTATTTGTCAAAAATTACTTTAGCCCATCATTAGGTAATAGAACCCAAAAAAGTGACCTGAAAACCAGAATTAAGGGGCATAATTATGGAGTTAAATTGTACATGATATTGTTATTAATTCTCCAAAAAGAAAAAAACTCTTCATATTTATAATTATATGGAGTTTGTAGATTTATATATAGTTTTTGTAATGTTTAAACATATCTCTAATATATTTAAATGTCATGCAATATTTGTTAAAAAAAACAAATTGAGGAAAAGTAGAAAAACCCAAGGAAAGATTACACACATCCAAAACTTAAAGCAGAACTCCAGGCAAAAATGTTTTTTGTTTTTGTCTAGGTGATAAAAAACTTTATATATCACACAAACCACGGAGCTGGCTGTCTGCTACTCCGGTCAGTCCCTGAAGCCTGTCTCTTCCTTCGCTGCAGCAATGGTATTGTTCTTGGCATCCTCACATCCTATACACTGTGTATAGAATGTGATAATTCAGGGACCTCAGATTACTGCAGCGGAGGGGGAGAGAGGCTCCAGGGACCAGTCTGAGAGTAAGCCGGCTCCAAGGATTGGGTGAGTAACTGTTTGTTTGTTTTTTAGCACCTAAAACAAAATGAGCACTTAACCCTTGCAGTGCAGGGGTAGCTCCACTGCAAGGTTTAAGAATATAATTGCTGGAAAAAACAGCTGGCAGATGTAGCCACACAATCTGGACCATTTAATAAAGCAGACTGCAGAAGGGCAGTACTTGTGTTCCAAGTAGAGTATACCATAGCAGCCAGATTTTTTTTTACTAAAGTTAAAATTAGTACAATTATGTATCAATGGATTTCTAAATTAAGTAGCTCAGAATGTCTTGTGTAAATGCAAACAAATTAAATAACAAATGACATACAATTACCATACAAACCCATTCTTACCAAATACCAGTGGCTTTATGAATAAAGAGTTCCTCCTTCAAAGAGTAATTTGTTAACGGACGGAGAAAGGGGTCCACTCAGGCTGTACTGATCAACATTTTTACCGATATCGTTATCTGATTCTTTAAGTTGAACAGCAGCATAGTTGGAACGGGTCCTATAAATACAGCTTGCAGAAGGTGAAAAGCAGTAGCTTTCAGGTGTTTAAAGCATTCCTAACGTACTCAGTGACGATGCTAGTAACAACCAAGACAATAGAGCTTCTTTAAGCACTTGTACGTATGTAAAAGGTGGCTTAAAGGTACGCTATAGCTGATTGGAGATTGGATTCCATAGTGACTCCACTGGAAACAAAGATGTGCAAATAACTTAGTAGATGGTGTGGATTTCACAATGCATTGTTATCAGTACAGGTAGAACAAGGTTATTAAGTAGAAGTCAGTACAGACCAACAACATTACTTCCAACTCAACTGCCCCAATCACCAATTAACTAAGCATGACTAGTTCACTGCAAGCGTTGCAGTAATGGAAAGGCTGGGCATATTTGATTCCAAGGAAAGCATTAATAGTACACGTTATGCTAAATCTGGTATAACACGTTCAAAAATTGTTCAAACAATATTTTTACAATTGACAAAATGGTGCATGTGTGTTGTTTTTCTTCTTTACAGGTCTGGGGACCAGAACTGGAGATTGAATCACTTGCCCATGGGTGGTGTGGTGCACTTCTTTTGTTTTGTCTCTAGTCTGGAATATTGGGATACTTACACTGTGGAGTGCCACGACTTGTTTCTACAGTTATACAACCAAACTGACTGACAGTCAGTGTTTAGCTAGACTTGAGGATAGATTGCAGCTTTGCTTGGCTGAAGCTGGTCACACACATGAGTCAGATTTTCCTTAGAATGAAGCTGTCAGATCAAACATTAACAATAAATATGTAGTGCAGGACCTTCCTGACCGCATATAAAGCAAATAGATTGTTGTTTTTTTTTAAATATTCTATATTTATTGACATTTTCCAAAGGTTATACATACAAACACACATAGTATATACCGTCAGGCCAGTGTGCCATTAAGTACTCAAGTCGCTTATAATTCAGCCTAAAGTTGTAAAAGGCTATTTACAGCTGAACCTAGACGGCTAAAGGACAAGACACATATATACCAGGTAAAACCCGGTAAGAGTGGGAAAATGGGAAAAGGTGGGGAGTAAACAGAGAACAGAAAGTAGGGGTTAAGAGAGAGGGGGGAGGGGCGGTATAGACTCAATGGTGCGCAAATAGATTGTTTTAATAGCATTTCTTATCAAACGTTATTGAAAGATTCTGCTGATCTAACAGATCAAATTGCAGCCAAGTCTAACTGTGTGTGTGATCTGCCTTACTGTCAGTGGCATGGGATATATATTTCTTGTTTTACCTTTCGTTATGTTGGGTTCATTGCTTTCTAGCATTCACTAATTTCTGTTTACTGTTTACTGATTAGTCTGTTGGTATGAGGAAGTAAATTGAAAAGAAATATTCAAGCATGGATAATAGGGGGAAGTTATAAAAAAGGTGCCTAGGACAATCTTTGTCTCAACTGGAGCACAGCCAATTAGCTTTTAAATCTTAATTTTTGTAAGCTGTGTGGAAAAAATGAAAGATGGATGCTGATTGGTTGCCATGGGCAATGGCACCAGTGGACACAGAACTTGTCTCAGACACTTTTGATTAATTCCCCTCATATACAGTATCGATGGTGGCCAACCAGGGCTAGATTAATAATATTCTCGCTTGTGCTTGTAATATACACATTAG